TGGGACCCACAAATTCTCCAGCCGACACGCCGCGTCTCCCTAGGGCCTCGGGCTGCAGCACCCATGTCTGCTAGAGTGGGAGGCAAGTGCTGCACACACAAGAGGAGCCAGGGACCACCCCGGCTCCAACAGACACTGTGTTCTCACACTCCTGCAGAGGAAAGGCTTCCCAGACCTCTTTCCCTGTCTCTCCCCAGAGGCCACTTTTCCAGCCCCTTCAGGCTGTCCAGGGCTCCCACCCCCAGGTCAGAGGGCACTGCCACAGAGGGGAGGGAGCCTGGGTCTGCCTCTTCCAATAATTAGCCTGGAAAGTGCTGGCGGCTGCTGGGAACTGTGTTGCAGGCCCCCCAGCGTAAAATATTCATCAAGAAGCAACTCCAAGCAGAGAGGCTGCCTTCCCTGTCAGCGGGCCCTGGGGAGGGAAGCTAAAAATAGACGGGAGGTTGAAGAGCCCACGGTGTGGAGGGGGAGGCAGACTGGGAGTGGGAGGAGTGGGCGACCTGGGCACATCTGGAGGGACCATGTGCACATGCATGTTTGCCGCGTGGGCACACGTGTGCTCTGAGCCTGGCCTGTACTCATGCAGGCGGTCCCCAAGTGACAGCTACAAATCCCTCTGGGCGCTGCCCTGTCCTCTGCACTGGAGGCTATTTTTATGGACATAGCCGAGCCCCAGGACACCTCAGTGAAGAATCAAAGACTCTCTATAAGCATGAAAAACAACAGCCTGGATCAACATGACACCAGCCACATGCAGGACTCACACTGGGGGATGGGTCACCACTCCCTCCATTTGAACACCCACCCTTCCCACCCTCTGCAGCCACCTCCCCCAGGGCTAGCCCTCCTCCCACATCCCGATCCCCCACCCACTGGCTCCATGAAAGTCACAGGTCCAGTCCCAAAGGCCTCCTTGATTGCCGGCCACTGTCCACACAAGACGGACCTTCTTCCCAGAGCCCCTGGATTATAGGCCCCTCGTGGTCGTGCTCCTGGTCCCCCCAAGCTGCTGAGTGCTGCGGCAGGTGCAGGGGTGTCTTGCCCACCCCTGTGGGCACTGGGGGCAGCCAGGTAGCTGTGAACCGTGCCCGCAAGAGCTGCTGGGCTCCTGGGCGGGCGCCTTCCAACTCGGAAACGGCCAGTATTGCCAGCCTTGCCCGAGCACCCCGTCTGTTTGCACCAATGCCTTTTCAATGTGCATATCGTCCAGGCTGCCTCGATCTTCCTATGCACACTGGGAGAGCGCCACAGACTCAGCCGCCTGGACGAGGAAAGGGCCCAGGACGCTCCAAGGCTGCATCCCAGCCCCCCGTGGCTCTCGCAGTATGTGGCCTCAGGCCTGTCGTGGCACCCAGTTCCTGTTACAGGCAGCTGGCTCCACCTTCAGCCAATGTCCCCTTCACCTGGATGGTCACCAAGAGAGGCTCCTTGGGCTCCTTCCCTTCCTTCCCAACTCCACTAGCATCTTGGCCGGGCGCGGTGGCTCGTGCCTGTAGTACTAACACTCTGGGAAGCCAAAGTGAGAGGATCGCTTGAGCTCAGGAATTTGAGACCAGCCTGAGCAAGAGCGAGACCCCATCTCTACTAAAAATAGAAAAAATCAGCCAGGTGTCGTGGCACATGCCTGTAGTCCCAGCTACTCAGGAGGCTGAGGCAGGAGGATCATTTGAGCCCAGGTGTTGGAGGTTGCAGTGGGCTATGATGATGCCACTGCACTCTACCTGGGGCGACAAAAATAAATTAAAAATAAATAAATAATAAAAAATTTAAAAAGTATATATAAATGAAATAAAATAAAATGGTATCTGGCCCCCAGCTGACTCTGATTCCCACCTCCCCTTCCAGCAACATCTAACACCCTCTCTTTTCACCCACTTGTATGCTCCCCCCTGGGAGGGTCCGAGTTCCAGTGGGGAGGGCTCTGGGGAAGAGCAGGTAGACGGGGGCAGACAACTGCCACCCTCTGACCCTCACCCAGCCCATGTGGCATGCACAATGGCCACCACCACTGTACGGATATGGAAACTGAGGCACACAGAAAGAAGATGCCACCATCACACAACTAGTAAATTTAAAGCTCTGACGAGACCCCAGTGGCAGGACGCCTGCTCCCATACCTGTAAGCTGCGACAGCACGTGCAGCGTTTGTGGTGGAGGGGCCTGGGGGGTCTGAGGGGCCTGCGGCCGCAGCTCTGCCTATCCAGCAGGAGCACTGATGGCCAGGAAGGAGCACCTTGGCTGGAGACCGCAGAGCCTGCGAACCACTGAGACGTCTCCTGAGCCCCAGGTGTCCAGAGCTGGGACAGATGCTAAATTAACTCATGCACTAGATGCTAGGTGAACTCAGAGGTGTCAAGCACCTGAGGATATGGCACAGTAGCAGAGGGGGTGGTGGGGGCATCACTTTTTCTAGAGTGGTCAGGGAGGGCCCTTCCAAGGATGAACAGTCTGGGTAAAGCAGGCAGGAGCCGGCTCTGGGAGGGTCTGAGGGAAGGTGGTCCAGACAGAGGAACAGCAAGTGCAAAGGCCCTGGGGCAGGAGTCGGTCTGTGTGTTTGAGGAACAGGGAGGGCTCAGGGTGCAGAGTAGTCATGTGGGGTTTAGGTGGCAGGGGAATCCGATTTTGGATTTTAGCTGGCTGAGCCCCAGGAGGGTTGCGGTCAAGGGCAGTGGGAGGGGAGGAGGGAGCAGCTGGGACTGAGCAGGGATTGCTGGTGGGACGGGGTGTGGGGGACTGTGGCTGCTCAGGAGGGAGGGAGGGGGCCCAGTCAGAGTGCGAGCCTACGAGGAGGGCTGGGATTTAGTGGGGGGAAGAGTAATGAGTTCATTCTGCGAAAGTGCTTCTGAGATGCCTTCTGGAGACCCCTGTGGGGGGTGGGCGGCTGGTGAAGCGTATGCTTGGGAAGTCAACAGGGGACACAGGCAACACACCAGGCACGGGACAGGGCTGGCCACCCAAGGAGAGGAGCACAGGTCAAAGCCTCGTGTTCATGGGGTACTGTGGGGTGGCCAGGGAGGCCAGCGTGTCCCTATGGACACTGCGGAATCCCACGTCAGGGAGTGCAGACGGGAGTGGCCTGGTCAGTTGGGCCAAAGCCAGGAAGAGGCCAGCGAGGTAGAGACAGCACAGCCTTGGCCCTGGCCACGCCGCCGTCCAAGGGAAGACACGGCCAGGAAAGAAAGGAAACAGCGTCTGGGAGGCCTGGAAGGAGAGTTCAAGAATGTGCCTGTGTGAGGCGGGGAATTTGGGTCCAGGAAGGAGAGGTGAGGGGCAGCCACACGTAGAAGTGTCACAGAGGGCGATGGTACACTGGGGAGAGCCCAGGAGGCGCCAGGAGAGGAAACAGGGAGACCGCTGCTTCGGACCATCCAAGGCGGCGCAGAGAACCAGACTCTGAGGTCAAAGGGCAGAGGAGGTCGGGTGGGCCACAGCAAGTGCAGGGCCGAGGTGATGCCGTGGGAAGACCAGACTCTGTCTTGGCCAGGCATCCCTCCCGTCTTGGCCATAGGGACGACCCCCCAGGCACGCTTGGACACTGTGTGGGGTCTGTGTACGGGGAAGTGGGTGGGTTTTATAAGCCAGAAAGGGGCTGGGGGGGCGTCCTTGTTGTGGTGCTGGAGGGCGCCGTTGGGGAGCAGGGGTGGAGGCCCTGCTACGGCGGCCGCCTGCCTGGTAAGCCCAAGCAGGGACAGCGCATCTTGGCAGGCTGGCACGAGGGCAGGGAAGTAGGACGCTTGGATGTGGCATGCAGTGCTGGCCCCTACCCCTGCTCCTTTCCTTCCTTTAAACCAGGCTGAATCCACTCAATCTGCTCGCTGGTCCTCCAAGGCCAGGCCCACCACTAACCTCTCTGTGCAGCCCAGCCACCTCCCCTCTAAGGCCACACCATAAGCCCGCAACACCACCGGCGGCCCTGCTCAGTGAGGGGCTTGGAGGGCTCAGCCTGGACCAAGCAACCAGCGCGTGGGCAGCCTGGGCCAGCCAGGGTCCTCCTCGGCCACAGGAAGCAGCTATCAGCACCGCACTCCTGCCTTTTGAGAGGAAGTGAGATTTAAATGCAATATGTTTTATTTGCTACAGAGGATTCTAGTCCGCGCTCCTCCTTCCAGGAGGCTAGCCAGAGCTGGCATCTGCGCGGGGAGCAGACGCGTGGGGGCGGGTGGGGGGAGGTGAGCGCTCTGGAAGTGGGGCTCAGGCTGCCAGGGGCTGCGGTCGCCTGCCTGGCTGCTTCCACAAGAGCACTAGATACCCAAGAGGCCTGGGGGGGCCCCCGATGCACCCAGGCACTCTGCTCCCCACGGCCTCAGCCCCAGAGGGCAGGAAGCGCCAACTGCATCCCACAGTTCTGGTTTCCTCTTGGTCCCTTTAGTAATGACATAAGGTCTGGTTCAGAGGCATCGGGACCAGCCCCTGGGTGGTTGGCCTGGACAGGAATCTTCATCCTCATGAGAGAGACACGGAAGCTACCTCTCTGGGCCACACTAACCCTGCAGGTGTCTGGGACCCTCCAGGACCCATGCTGGGCACAGACCCACCAGCTCTAACACGAGTCAGAGGTGGCAACCACTGTGACAGGTGAGTAGCCAGGCGCACACACCCCGTACCTGCCCCCCCACACCACCCTCTGCACCCCCAGGGCAGAGCCACACATGGCAGCCCAAGGCAGAGATAGGCCAAGAAGCCTGGACTTCCCCAGCCCAAAGTCCATGGGTCTGGCTCAGTCTGCACCAGGCCGGACACACGGGCCACGGCCATCTTAAGACAGCCCGCCCCTCCAGCTTCCCGCCAGGCCCCTTGGCAGGGCATGGAAGCCCAAGGCTCGCAAAGGGGCCTCTCATCACATCTGCCAGCCCCACCTCGCAGTCCACAGGCATGGAGCCCGAAGGCCTCCCCTCAGGCATTCTCGACCTTCCCGATCTGCACAGCAGCCTGAGGTCACTGGTCCAGGGCGTGGCCAGGCCTAGGCCCTGCTCTGACCCCGTGGGACAAGACAGAGGGACTCACGCGAGTACCATCTCTGCTGGAGTCCTGAGAGCACCCCCCCAACCCCGCAGACACACACTCACCACGAGCTGGGGCACGGGCAGCGGCTTGCCCTCCTGGCTCAGGGACACGTAGGTGAAGAAGGCACTGGCGGCCCGGTAGCGCTTTTGTGAGTTGTCCACCACGGGGTCGGCGTCCACCAAGACCTCGATTTCCATGGATTTATTGCTCGTGAAGGTCATACGTCCAGAGATGGTGATGACACAGCCTGCAGAGACGGGAAGGCGAGTGTCAGGGCGGCCTTCGCCCCACAGCAGGCCCGGGGAGAAGTCAGTGTTGCCGAGGACAGCCAAAGACACTTGGTTAGGGCACAGCCAAAGACACAGATGCTTAACTAATTACTACGATGTTAAAATGACAAAATATTAGAATGCATCATTAGTAGCTCATGAATGTTTATCTTTCTACTGAGCAGACGTTTATTTTTATCATCTACATGGAAGTTTAGAGTTGAAGGGATCTCGGTGGCCACCTGCCCGAGCAGAGAGGAGGTGGCATCTACTGGAACGCTTCCCAAGCCACTCCACCCCCAGGGGAGCCCCCAGCTGCTTCCCAGTAGCTGAGTGTGAGCCGGCTCTGTCCTCAAGTTCAGGTCAAATCTGCAACCTGCACTGTCCACTCTTCGGCCTTTCTGGCGCCACTGGAGACACACAGCCGCCCACATGCTGCTCCCCAGCCCTGAAGTTCCAGCGTCTCAGGGCCCCTGCCCCTGCCCCTTGGTGGGATCCTATGTGTCAGGCATCCTTTCTGGCCCTGCAGGTCCTGCCCACGGGACCAGAGCTCCCTCCTCTGAGCCGCTGGACATCACGCCAGAGTCCCCCATGCCTACTGCTTCCTGCACCAGCCCGGTTTCCCTGTGGACGATGACAAAGTCCAAAGCCACCTGTTCCCGCACATCATCCCTGTGTCCCCCCCTCCCTCTAACCTGACCGGCCTCCTTATACTTCCCAGCCCCTTGCAGCACTGGACCCAGAGCTTCTCTCCTGCCCCCTCCACCCTCCCAAGCATGGGCTCCCTCCTCCCACCCGGCCCTGCCCCTCCTTTCCCTCGACATAATCTCCTAATCTCGTGGAGCTCAGTTTTTCTCCTATAAATGGGTACAAGGGAAGCTGTCTCGGGGGTAACTATGGGATGGAAGGAAACAAGCCAAGTGCTGAGCTGGTGCCTGGGGAGGGGTGCTTGGTGCACGGTCATCATCACCATCCATGATGTTATTGGCCACGAGGATGCATTAGCCCCTGGGGGCTTCCAGGGGAAGGGTCTACACCAGCCACTGCGTGGCATGTGGCTTCATTCTGGGCCAGCCTCAAAGAAACTCCTGCCCGAGTCAGGTTGCAGGACCTGCCCTTCAGAAACGAGTGCTGGCTGCCCGGACTTTCAACACAGCCTCTGGGACCCTCAATGTTCCAGTTCCACTGATACGGGCCCTACTAGACAGGTTCAGAGACCCAGAGAGAGAAAGCAGGTGGCACGGTGACTGTTAGGGGGAGGTGAGCAGGCCAGGGGCGGGAGCAGTTATTCCATGTTATACAGAATCAGAACGTTCCACGCCACATTCAACTTGCAACGTCATACTTACAAGGAGTGCTTCATGCCAGTTCTGGGAGGGAAGGAAGGAGCCGTGTGGTCAGCAGCAGGTGGCATTATGTGAGCTGCAAGGTGTACAGTCATGTGCAAAGCATCTGACGCAGTCACCAAGCACACACCCTGGGAAAAGGGCAGGCCACGGGCCCATATCCCAGCCAAGGAACTGGAAGGTTAAACAGATTAGCCCTGAGGGTCCCACAGCATCTCTGTCCCCTTCTCCAAGACTCAGGGGCCACAGAGCCAAAGAGCAGGGACAAGCCCTTCTAAGAGAGAAAACCAGCAGGAACATGCCCGAGGCCAGAGGCTGTTAATGAGGGACTGCCCACCTGCCTGAGTGCCACTGTGACAGCCGACTCCAGCGGTCTCTGGACACCGGCTGTGCGTCCTGAGCAACAGGAAACGCGTGCCCTCTGTCCCTGCCCACGGAGCCCCACCTGCCCCAGCAAAATCCTGGCTGCTCATGGTTTAACTTCGGTGTTAGACATTTGAAGAAACTTCTGACTTCCATCAACAGTGGTTTCAGTTAAGTTAGCTGACTCTGTGAGCACTGGGCAACCCAACAGAACAAGAGAATGCTGCCTAGGAGAGCCTCTTATGGGCCATAATACAATGGCTACTGCATAAAAGCTGTGAAATTTTTCAATTACAACCAAAACCTGAATCTTCTCAGCTTTCAGAGAGCAACATCGTCATTCCAAACGAGACATAGGCTATAACTTTGGCTGGCAGAACACAGATACTCTGAAGTTGGAAACCTGATTCGGTCACTGACTGGCTGGGGGACTTAATCCAGAACCTAGGTTGAAAGGTGACTCTCAAGTCCCAGTGGCCAAGATAGAACCCAGAGTTTCCAGGGTCCTGCTGGAGGGTCTCCTGTCTCCAGGCTTGGAAGGCCGATCCCACAGCTGACCCCAGGGCAGATTCCGGGAAGGGGCTGTGGCAAGGCAGCTGGTGTGGCTGGCTCCCAGCTCCAGGGCACTGCTCTTGTCCATCCTGGGAAATTCCAGGCATATCCGCAGACCTGCCTTACATGAAAGTGAGTGATTTTTAAGGGAACACATAGGCTTTGGGCTCTGCCTGCTCACCTTGAGGGTCCATTATCCACGTCTTGCACTACAGGGACACAGCTCCTGCCCAAGGGGTATATAAAGCTCTGGGCAGGACCAGGCATGGGGTGGACGCTCACAGCTTGAATTGTGACAGGCATGGAGGCAATCACATGCTGGGCATCGGGGCCATTACCTGCCCTAGACACAGCCAATGCTGTCATTCCTCTCACTAGACCAGAGCCTGGACTGCCTGACCTGCTGGCCAAGTTGTGACCAGGTGCCTGTAGGCCGTTTCATCAAACATGGAGGGCAGTAAGGCTGGTCACTCATTGAGAGCTGAAGACAAGGCAAGTGTGTTAAAGTGGCGCGTGGGGAACATCAGCCCAGCAGAAGGCCAGAGGCACAGCCTGAGGACCGCTGGCGGAAGACCTGGCCATGCCGCTTGGAGGTCAGGACATCCAAGGACCTCCCAGCAAAGAGGGGGTCAGGCCTCCCTCCCCTGGCATGAGTAAGGCAGGGAGGGTGGGCCACTCCTGCCCTGCATGCTTGTGCTGTCTGTCTATATCTTGCAGTGACCTCGGCATTGGGCAAGCTTGGGACCTTGGGGGACCCATCTGAGAAGGGAGAGAACCTCAATTCCACTACATTGTGCCTGTCTTAGAAACCACCAAAGCCAGGAGGATCCCAGCAGTGCCATGCTCCGCCATGACAGCAGCCGAAGCTCAGAGAGACCTTTTGGTCCTGACAATCAGCCCATTGAGCTCGGAGCAGAGGTGCTGCCTTGGGACATTCCGGAAGGTAGCATGTGCAAACACCCCGAGGATAGGGCAGCTCGTTTATTTAAAAGAGGGGTGGGAAACGGAGTCAGGGGTCCAGACATTCGCCGTGATGTGTCTTAGCAAAGACTGGGGGCAGACACCTGGCAAGGCTGCAGTGTCCACAGGCTGTGCTGCCATGAGGGACAGCCCAAGTCCCACAGCTTTGCAGTCAGATGGCCCTGGGTTTGAACCCAGGCTTGGCCACCGAGCAGGGACAAACCAAGAAACTACACTGTGCCTAAGTTTCCTCTTCTACAAATGGACACAAGAGTAGCAGCTTCTCAGGGAGGCCATTAGAAGCAGGAGGCTGCGTGTGCTGCCACATGCACCCAGCCCCGGGGAATGCAGCGGAGCAGGGGATCCACTCACAGCGACGTCCCTTCTTCCAGGGCTCCACAGGCCTCAGTGGCATTTTGGGAGTGACTCCCTCCAGATTTGTTAAAGGGGACACTGTCCTTGCTCTACAGCCACATTGATGTCACTTGCCCACATTAATTACAAGACGTGGACACAGGCCCAGGGGCCCGAGTTTGCATAATGGTCTCTCTGGGGGAAAGGCACCTCAACCCTGGGGCCATGCCGGAGCGTCCTGCAGGGAGTAAGGGAAGCCGTACAATAGGGCGGTGAGAGGTGACATTTAAACCAATCACTCCCTGTGGTTTTGTCTGCAGCAGACACATTTACACTAGGCAAGAAGTTGCTTCTAACGCTGTCCAAATGCCTAAAATGGGCTATTGCATCAGCAAGGGAGTTTTCATCTTTCCAGCTTGTGAAGCCTTAAAAAAATCCTTGTCCTTGCTCCCTGGATTCCAGACTAGTGGCTGTAGCAGCTGTGACATTGAGCTATGGCTGTGTTCTGTGGGAGACCCTCCCAGCATCCCCATCACACGAGCCTGGTCCGAGAGGTGGGGACTCAGCTGTGCTAACGGGGACGCCAATCTATAAGGTCCCTCCAAACCTGAGTTCCAGTGCAAAACTGTCAACAAGAGGTGGGGCTGGCCAGGAAGGCCTGCCGCCTCTGTCCCCTTCTTGCTAATGCCCGACACTTCCGAGGGGCTTGGCATCCGTAGCTGAAGAGATTTAGGACAGAGTGAGAGGGCGTTTTCCCTCACACTGCCTTGAAACCACCAAGGGCCACCCTCCACCCTCCAGCCTCCACCCTCCCCTGGGTTCCCTGCCACAGTCCAGTCACAGGGCTTGTAAGACAAGAAAAGGCAGAGCTTCCAAATGGGCTGGAGCCTGAGTTGTTTTTTTTTGTTTGTTTTGTTTTTTTAAAAAGACATGGTCTTGCTCTGTCACCCAGGCTGGAGTGCAGTGGTGCAATCATAGTTTACTGTAACCTTGAACTCTTGGGTCCAAGTAATCCTCCTGCCTCCACCTCCAGAGTAGCTGGGACTATAGGTGTGCATCACCACGCCTGGCTAATTTTTAAAATATTTTTTGTAGAGACAAGGTCTCGCTGTGTTGCTAGGCTGGTCTTGAATTCTTGTCCTCAGGTGATCTTCCCACCTCGGCCTCCTAAAGTGCTGGGATTATAGGTGTGAGCCACCCCCCAAACCTGGAGCCAGGTATTGTAGCTCACCAGGAGTTCAAGACCAGACTGGGCAACATGGCGAGACTTTGTCTCCAATAAAAAAAAAGATGTCTACTTCTGCATCCCTGGAACCCATAAACATGTGACCTCACGTTACAGATCTAATCTGGTCAAGGACTGAGACTGCAGCACAGGTGGGCTCTGCAGCAACGCTGAAGTAACTCAGGCTGGAGCTGCTGGAGGCAGGAGACTGAATCATCTGTCCTTGCCTCTCACTCAGCAGGACGAAGGGCCCTGGGCCCAGGCTGATGGGCTGGACAAAACCCAGAGCGCTACCCGTGGGAGCCCTTAGCAACCACACAAGGAACCACAGCAGCCACTCCACAGCCCAGAGCAAGCACTCCTGACTTTGGAGGGTGCTACACTGGATCAGCACGGGCTGTGCTTCATCAGCCACCAGGCGACACTCTGGGCCCTGGCGGTGAATGCCAGGTAGTGTGCAAGCAAGGTCGTCGGATGACACAAGAGCACGGGGCTCAGAGTTCTGGCCCCAGAGCCTGACTGCTGGGCCTCCCCTCCCAGCGCGGCCCACAGCATGGTCGTGGACAGCTCCCTTAACCTCTCAGAGCTGTGGTCTCTAGGCTGGAAACGTGGGAATGACAAGAGTCCCTGTTCCATGGGGCTGTGTGAGGCGTGAACACCACAAAGCACTTAGCACAAAGCCTGGCACTCGAAAGTGCGCAACGGTAGCTACAGTTAAATATATCAAGTGCCCGCGGTGGGCTGAATTGCGAATTAAAGCTCCTTTCTGTTTTTAAACAACTGCTGGGCCTGCCTGGAGTGGCGCAACCCGTGAGCGCTGGCAGGTGCCCCAGCCGACTCCCCCGGCGGACGGGCGTCTCTCCAGGGGCAGCAGCAGCCAGATTTCAGCAGCGTGCCAGGGATTTGGGAAAGAAAACAAAACAATAAAAAATAGCAGTTACCAAGCCTGTGAGGTTGCCAAGTGTTTCAGAGTTTAGGAACGGCTCAGCGCGTACGCTCCAGGAAGAGCCGTGGCAATGAACTTTCTTAAAAAAAGGCTGGAAACAGTGAAGGAACTTGGTATTTCTCATATAACACACCTCAAAGCCCTTTCTAGAAGATTCCTCACTTTAGTAGAGGAATTCAGTAGACTTTAGAACAGGTCATTTCTCCACAAGAAAAGGTTTTCTTAACTAATGCTTCCGAAACTATTATACTAAAGGTGACTACTTTCCCCCTTTAACTTTTTCATAACAATTGTCTTGTTGTTTTAACATCTCAACTGGGAAAAAATGGAGCCAGAGTAAGCTCCCACATGAGCTTTCCCGCCTGCGGCATGCTGGCAGGTCCCGTGGGCCCCGTGCACTCCACCTGGCGGAGGTGCATCCCGTAAGTGCGCCTCCGGCCTTTCGTGGCCCTCACTGTCCCCGGCACCTGCTTTGGAGCTGGCACACGGTGCTCCATCTGCCTTTGCTGGGCAAAGAGCCCCGAGAGGCAGGTGGTTTCGGCGTCATTTCCATTTTCCAATGAGATGCAGGCTCGTGGACAAAGCCTTCCTCCCCTCGCCCCATCCACCTGCAGTGAGCTTAACTCAGCAAACACCTGCTGGGACCCCGCACAGGCTCAGCTGTGCCAGCTGGTGCACAAGTGCCAGAGGACCGGCATGACAGGGGGCAGCCCGTCCTAGCAGACCTGGAATGCGAGGCACAAGGGCTTGGGCTGAACTTGGCACGTCAAGGGCAGCCATGGGGCTGTGAGCAGGGAAGCAGCAGGTAGTCACTGGCATCTAAAGGCCGTGAACGTGGCAGTGGCGTTGGGATGGGCTGGAATGGGTGAGGGCCCTCTCGGTCCAGCAGGAGGATGAGGTGTCCTGGAGAATCTGGCTGGGAAGCGGCGAGCCTGCTGCCTGCTCGAGCCAGGCTGGCCAGAGGGCGGCCGGGGCCAGGCAGCTGCTTGTGAGGCCTTTCCTGGCCCTGGAGGCGGCCGCTGTGTCTGTGAGTGCGGCTGAAATGGGCAATGGGACCATGTTGTGATGATGAAAAACTCCTGACATAACTTCCTGACGACGCCCACCCCAGCAGCTCCCCGGCTCTGCTGAAGCCGCCACGCATGGCCCTCTGTCATGTGTGTGTCACCCCCGACTGGGGTGGCGGGCGGGGTCTGGCCCTGTGGCCTCCTTCATGGTATGGCTGACACGTGAGGTGCGAGGTGAGCGTGGGACCAGGGCCCACAGCTCAGAAGACGAGCGCTGGTCTTAAGGGTAGAAAGTGACTGCAGCAGAAGCACATAAGAAAGTCACAAAGAATGGTAATGCCAACTCCCACTGTTCTCGCCGTGTTTCTGACATGCTCGCCCATGTATCACGGAGAACCCAGAGCTGCTGGGGATTGCGTCTCCCCCAGACTCAGCTGGCCTCGGGCTGCGTCCCCCACAAGGGAGCAAAGGAAGGGCGGCCTTGGCCCTCTGCCCTTGGAGCGGGACACAGACGTGGCAGCCCTTCCCCGGAGCAGGACTGAGACCTCCCTCCCCGGGAATGACCAGCAGGCGCCTGGGCAGAGGGCACGAGCCGACAGCCCTGCACAGTACTGCTCCCCTGGAAAACAACAAATGAGGGGTGACAGGGTCCAGGTCCCCAGGGGATACTGGCACAGAAAGAGGCCAGACTCCACAACTGTTACTTCAGCTTGGCCCCAATTCCTTTATATACAGAACAGGATGTTACCAAACAAAGTGGCAACAACCCTCCGTTCCCGCCGAGGAGCCAGCGTGTTCCCGGAGGCCCCAGGCCAAGGCGGGACGGGTGGGGGCCTGGGGTCTTGCCAGCGCGTCGGGGCAGCTCAACACAGCGGCTCTTTGGGGTAGCAGGAACCTGGCCAGCCCACCCCACCTGCCCTCAGCTGCGCTGCTCAGGGAACCAATCTACACAGAATGTTCTACCAGGAATTATGGCTGCTGAACACGAAGATCCCCTTTATCTGTGTCTTAGAAGCAACGTAACCTTTTAGACAGGAAAAGTCTTAAAGAAGTTCCGTACACAAGTTGCTCTGGATGACTCTTAAGTTGCTAAATTAATTCCTTGAAAAAACTGCTTGACTACCTACTGTCTATGATTTTTCCTCAAAATCCATAATTCCTACTGCCTGGAAACCTCTCTACACCTCTCCCTGACGTCTCCCTTAAAAGTTACTCCTGGGGGTGGAAGGAATTAAGGGTGAAAAGTTGGGAGGGGAGGGTCCCTTTCAATGGCTTCCTGATGTCTAACAAACCTTGACTTTTCTTTCTCTGGGTGCTTTGCTGAACTTGTGCTGAGAACATTTGCTGACTGGGCAGATGTTTAGGAAGCTGAGTGGCTATCGAGGAAAGTCTATTTCCTTGCTTAGCAGTTCTCAAAAGACACTCAGGGACAACTGAACAGGCCTGTCCTGTGGAAGAGAAGCATGCTTTCCACGGTGAAGTTTGACTCTGGGTTTAACGACATAGACCTAATCGGGGGACTTCACTCAGGCAGGAGCCTAGCGAGGCCTGGGTCACAGGCGGGATCCTCCCTTTCCCGAGGCTCGTGCCACAGCCACCAACGGCACTCGGATCTCAGCCTGCTCAAGGCCCGCGGAGGACAAGCCAAAACACACAAGACCCACTGGTTCTGGGCAAATTCTAAGATGACATTGTAGTCTGCGCTTGTGGCAAATGTCTATCAGTCAAGAAGGGGTCTGCCAAGTGCAGGGGAGCTGCAGACCGTCCTTCTGGCCCCCAAGCCCCTGCCCAAGGTGGGTAAACCTCGCCTGCTCCCAGTGATGGCAGGCGGGGCAACGCCCCCATCCCGCCCGCAGGACGGCACTGCCCCGGCACGCGGTGGGTGCACAGGCGCCAGCTGGGTCTGCCAGGGGCCTGAGCGTCTAGATGAAGCTTCGTGGCCCCTCGTCGCGAGCTCAGGTGGGCAGGACAGTGAGGGGAGTCAAGCTTGTGTTTCTCCTGCTTCCCCACCTCCCAGCATGGGACTAGTCTCCCACACAGCGCCTCCAAAAAGCTGCTCTAAGAATCAACCCAGGCTCCCGTGACCCGACACCACCCCCAGCCCCAGAGGAAGCGCTGCCTTCCAGGGGCCACAGGGCCTCATCTCAGGAGACATGGAGCAAACAGAAACTGCCACGTGTCAGGAGGGGACTTCGCTTTGCATCTGCAGACGAGCAGTAACGTGAGACGAGTGAACTGTAGGAAGGCCCTGCCTCCCAAATCTGCAAGTGCACCAGGGGACAGCAGGCACGGTTTCGGGGTGGGGACCCAGTCACTAGGACTGGACAGGGGGAAAACCAGCACACACCGGCACTGCCGTGGGTGACGCAGGGGGGGCTGGCCAGGGACGGTGCTCCCACGCGCTTCTCTGCCTTGGCCCCGCCATGGCCTAGATCACAGATTATTAATTCCTCCCCAAAATGAAACATGCCTACTGCAAGGTTTGGTGGCAACATCCAGGCAACTGTGCACAGGATCGTCACAGACCTTCGTGCGTGGGGCATTTTAAGAGAATGAGTCTGTGCCAATCTTTAGGAGAAAGGCCCCGATCACATATGAGTTACAGACATTACCAGGCTGAAATGTCAGCACTAACCTCACAGCACGGACAACGCAAAACGCTTGTGGTAGGTGGGCAGACAAGGCCCAGGCAGCTCTGGAGGTGAACAGAAAACAAACTGGACAGGGGACCACCCCCTCATCTTTGTCAGAAGAGTTCTGTTACCTTTTCTGATCTTGTCGTGAAAATTGATGGCATCCACGGAAGCCGTGACTATGTTGGTCTTGCAGTGGCGTGCGGCCACGATCCCCGCAACCTCGTCCATGAGCTTCATGGTGACACCTGCAGAGAAAGGGGCATGTGAGATATAAGACATGCAGGAAGGGGGGACTATTTCATATTCTGGAAACGAGTCATAAAAACCCAGCCCTCCCATCACCGCGGGGATGGGAGCCAGGGCCGCAGCCAGCAGCAGCTGAGGATGCACAGACGTGGCACGCCCCAGCTTGCACCTTACACGTGGCTTCCTCAGGGGCTTCTGAAATGATCACCCACAGACTGACAGACTAGGCCACTAACAAAAGATAACCCTTTTCCTATCCTCTACAGGTATCTTATCCTGCCAAGAACGTTTTGTTACAACATCCACTGGGATGGCTGCAATCAGAAAGTCAGATAATAACAAGTGCTGGCGAGGGTGTGGAGGAGTCGGAACCCTCGAGCTCCGCTGGTGAGAACGTAAGATGGCTCAGCTGCTTTGGAAATAGTTTGGAGTTCCTCCAAAATCTAAACACAGAGGGACCGTATGACCCAGCAATTCTACTCCTAGGTGTATACTCGAGAGAAATAACAACGTATGTTCAACAGAAACTTATCCACAGATTTCACAGCAGCATTTACATGTAACAGCCAGAAAGTGGCAACGATTCAAATGTCTGTGCACTGAGGAATGGATGAACAAAATGCAGCATATCCACACAACGGAATGATATGTGCTATAACAGATGTTTTCAAGGATGAACCTTGAAAACATTATGCAAAGTGAAAGAGCCAGACACCCAAGACCACATATTGTGCGACGCCATTGTAAGAAATGTCCAGAACAGGCCCATCTACAGAAACAGAGGCGGTTTAGTGGCTCCCTAAGGATAGGGGAGGAGGGGAAATGGGGGTGACTGCTGATGGGTGCAGCGCTTTATAGAGCAATGAAAATGTTCTAAGGTCGACTGTAATGGTGGTTGCACAACTCTGTGAATATACCAACTAATCAATGACTTGAGCACTTGAACAGTTAACTGTGCGGCATATGAACTGAAGAACCCTGCAAAGCCAAGGGGCCTGTAGGCTGTCAGCTGCAGACATTTGCCTTTGCTCAGTCCCCTTTCTGTGATGGGTCACTGCCATGCACAGGCTAGTCCCTGCAGCCCAACAACTCTTATCCCCAGCGCGACACACATTCTTATTTCACTTTGAAATTCAACCATTTTTGATCGACAAAAGCAGCAAAGCAATGTTGATATTGATCAACCTATTAGCTATCAGACATTTTAGAAAGTTATGTGCATGCACCCTAGGATATAGAATGATTTCTAATAAACCCAGAGAGCCAAAAACCAGATTCCATCCCACATGTGAAAGGCAGGCTCATATGGAGTTGTGCTTAGGGTGGGATTTGTAGGCTCACACGCCTGTAGGGCCTGGCTGTTGATGTCAGAAAGTGAGGAGAGCTATTGGGGCTGGGGCGAGTGGCCAGCCAGGGCCCTCTGCTGTTCAAACTCCCCACCCCTGAGGGCTTGTCTTTTCAGGAGACACTAGCCAGATGTCCTGTGCATGACCTGTTCTCATCCTGACTCTACCAACTGGAAAAAAATAAGAGCGATTGGGGAAATCTGAACACTGGATACTCGATATTAAGCACTTATTAATTTACTTGGGAGGATGTGATAACGGTAGTGTGAGTGTTGAAAGTAAAAAGTTCTGGTTTAGACATAATGTCTGGGGCTTGCTTTAGAGCACTGCATAGTGTGAGAGGGGAAGCAGGATTGACAGGTGCTACTGGTCACTGAAGCTGGGAGAGGACCCTGGGGGCTCAGTAAGCTTTTCTCACTGCTCATGTACACCGGAGCGTTCCATAACAAAAAGTTTTTTAAAAAGAGGTGTTCTTTTTTTTTTTGAGACAGAGTCTCACTCTGTTGCTCGGGCTAGAGTGCTGTGGCATTAGCCTAGCTCACAGTAACTTCAAACTCCTGGGCTCAAGCAATCCTCCTGCCTCAGCCTCCCAAGTAGCTGGGACTACAGGCATGCACCACTGAGCCCAGCTAATTTTTTCTATATATTTTTAATTCTCCAGCTAATTTTTCTATTTTTTTAGTAGAGATGGGGTCTCACTCTTGCTCAGGCTGGCCTCGAACTCCTGAGCTCAAACGATCCACCCACCTCGGCCTCCCAGAGTGCTAGGATCACAGGCGTGAGCCACTGCATCCAGCCAAAAACAGGTGCTCTTGATTTTAAAGGATTATGTGTTTATTACCACTAAAAGAAGATCCTACCACTAAACGATGCTGAGTGAGGAGGAGCAGGGGACAAAGTTAGAGTGAGTCGTACTTGCACCTGTCGTTTTAAAAGCACCTTCATGACACTGGTGCGTCTGTTCTGCTCAACCTGTGCATGGAGGTACCAGCACCTGCATTTTTCAAATTAACAACAAGAGGCTCTGAGTCACATAGAGATCCAATCTAAAGAAAGAGCACAAGTAAAATGGGAGGAAAACAGCTCTTTTGCAGAAGGAAGGATCCTGGGCATCAGGTAGTGTCCTCCAGCAGAGGAGATGTTGCTGCCAGGCGGGAGGGCAGCTGCCGGGAAGAGCGCTCACAGGTCTGTGAGAGGGGTCCTGCTTTGCTTTGTCTCTGCCTTGCCTTTTCAAGGAGTCTGTGTTGGGTTATTTCAAGTCATTACTGGACATAGACATGTGCAGCCTTGTCTAAGCCCAACACAAGGTCTCCTCTTCTTCTACGGAGTGTTTGTGTTAGAATCAATGTTCAGAACTTAAAAAGTACCTACAAAAGCAGAATTTATTAAGAATGGAAGAATAACTAGAAGAAGTTTTTAATCAGTTCCTTTGAACTGAGGTTTTGTCCCATTTATCCAAAACACCAGCTTGCTGGCACAGAGACACCACGTCTGTCACTAGAAACGTGGCAGGATGCATAGCACATGGCAGCCAAGGTGGGCTTTGCGCCCACAGCAGACTGAGCGGAAATGTGCGTAGCCGGGTGGGTTCCTGGTGGGCAGATGCCCCACCGACCCCGTGTAGGCTCTGCATGGCTCCCCAGATGGCACGGATGCTGCACTGGGTGGGGTTGTGCCTCACTGTCCCTGTGACCCGCACCCAGTACGGAGCCTGGCATTTGCCGCTCAGGAAATGGCTGCTGCATGATGAGTTAGCCAGCAATGCACACTGACGGAGAGATCAGTCACCCCGAGCAAGCAGCTCCCACAGCAAAGTGCGAGGCTCTGTGTCCAGGCAACAGTGTGGCATGACAGTCACAGGAGACGGCAAGACAGCTCACCCAGCCACAGGGACCCAACACCAGGTCAGCTAGATGGCCGATCAGGTGACAAAATTGATATTCAAAATGACCCTGTGTGTGTTGGTAGTGACGTTTATGGGGACAACCTTCTCCAGCCCCAACACCCAGCATGAAAATGACTACGGAGGAAAGCCACGGAGCATGCTGAGACCAGCTGCCAACCCGACGTGAAGCCACATCACAGCAACGACGGAAGGGCCAAGCCTGGCCGACGGAGCTGATAGAACTGCAGTGCCCAGATCCGGGGATGGGCATGGTCCCACCGTGTGCCTCCTGTCAGATGATGGCCACACCTGGGACTGCGTTCCAGGTACTGGGAACAGTGCCCAATATGAGTGGCAGCAGAGCAGGAGGGGGTAGCATCCCGGCACTCTGCTGGACAAGGAGGCCCAGAAGACCTGGGTCTGCCTCACAGGAAGGCCGGGCCAGCAGGTGGGAGGGCTCCGGGCTCCCACAGGCTCTCATCCGGACAATCTCTGTCCACTTCAGGTAACCTGCGTCCTCTGGGGAGGCCACGGCAGGATCCCGGAGAAGTGACAGCAGGGTCACATTTTTTTTTTTGAGACAGAGTCTCGCTTTGTTGTCCAGGCTAGAGAGAGTGCCGTGGCATCAGCCTAGCTCACAGCAACCTCAAACTCCTGGGCTCAAGCAATCCTTCTGTCTCAGCCTCCCGAGTAGCTGGGACTACAGGCATGCGCCACCATGCCCGGCTAATTTTTATATATATATATATATATATCAGTTGGCCAATTAATTTCTTTCTATTTATAGTAGAGATGGGGTCTCGCTCTTGCTCAGGCTGGTTTTGAACTCCTGACCTCGAGCAATCCGCCCGCCTCGGCCTCCCAGAGAGCTAGGATTACAGGCGTGAGCCACCTCGCCCAGCCAGCAGGGTCACTTTTAAGGCTCACTAGACAGAAAAACTTTCTGGGGGAATAATTAGAACAGTCCAAAAACCAAGTGCATGGCTCTGTAAAGGCGAGGCCCCGCTCGTGCTGGAGCAGGCGTGGTGGGATAGGGGCTGGAAGCAGAAGCCCCACCCACGGAGACGGACCTGGCGGGAAACCTGTGCCTGTGGCTCCAGCCACCCTGAGTCTGTGTTTCACAAATGGACCTTTTAGTGCTGCTACAGCGGATTTGACGAAAAGCAGGGGTAACTGTGGTCTGTGTGTAAACTTCTGGTGGCTTATTAGGGTGAAGGGAACTGATCTCGTGATGATTGAGATTAGAATCGAACACAATGAGGTGCTGTCCCCTGTGCTCCCTCCTCCCGCCATGGAAGCCACAGTGGGCATCTGACGCTGAGACGCTCAGGTCAAAAGGCCTGTGCAAAAGTCCGATTGGTAAAAATGCACGCGATCTCACCCCATCATGACATGCTTGTAAATATCCTTACAATGAGACACCTGTATCTATGATGGTACATGATAGCTTACAATCAATGTGTCGACTAAGAAAACTAAATTTTAAGAAAAAAAAAACACCAAAAAATCACAGTGCCTAATTCCTAACTGCTGTCCCTGCTCTGCTGCCCACCTGGGCCCAGGCTTGCCAGAGGCAGCCACCAAGCCCTGACGCTGGCGCCACCACCTCCCCATCACTTTCTTACGCTGTAATTTGAAATATCAAGAGCCCAGGTTTTCTGTAAAGTGCCTTTTTCCAGGTTCCTACTGAAAAGTCTCGTCAACGCTTCCCCTGTAGGCACGATGGGTGCTGCCAACATGGGAAAATAACTTCGCAGAATTACAGTCC